AAGATGAAGGGATAAAGATGAAGGAGTAAAGAAGAAAGATGAAGGTATAAAAATTTTAAGAAAGATGAAGGAATTCGGCAACTTTGTCTGGGCGGAGCCATAGGTCCTCAGGCGTGAGGTCTGTAGGGTTGGCCGGGCAGTCGAAGAGGTGGCACGTTGTGTGGGACTATTGTTCTGTTAGGTGTGCCAGTCGAAAACCAACTTTCCAGCAGGAGTCTAGCCATCTTGTCATTGGCTCTACCTATTACCTTTGCTTTGTCGAAGGCGAAAAGGTGGTTCTTCTGCTGTACGTGTTCATAGACCATAAACAGCATATCCTTGCGGTTGTTTGCGAGCTGATGCTCATGCAACCTTGTGTTAAGGCGTTTGCCCGTTTCACTAACATACCTTGTATCGCAATCTTGACATGGTATGCTGTAGACAACGGCTGACTGTTCTGTCGATGGTAACTGGTCTTTGGGCTTCATGCTCTGCTGTCTAATCTTTGATTCCAGCTTGTCAGCCGCACCGAGCCCGAATGGCCTCAGGATTCTTGCAGTCACCTCAGACACGTTCTTCGCATAAGGGATTGCGAGCCAAAACTTGGGGCCTTCTCCTTTCGACCGCTAAAAGTGGGGTTTCTTAAAACACTTGCTTATGAAGGACTTTAAGTAACCATTGGCTTCAAATAGGACATGCAAGTATTTAATCTCCTCCTTTCCACTGTCGTCGCTGCAGTGTGTCTGAACGCATTGGAAGAGGGTTCTAACACATCTACGTTTGTGCCCAACAGGGTGGCTGCTTCTGAAGTGGAGGATGCGCAGGGTGTTGGTTGCCGTACGAGAAACTGTCGTCCTTATCTTGCCACCTTCCAGCTTCGTCACCTGTACATCGAGGAAGGGTAACTGATTGTTAACCTCTTTTTCCATAGTGAACTGGACTTCAGGAAAGATGGATATCAGCAGTGCCTTGAACTCCTGCGCTTTGCTCCTTTTGATGAAGAGGAAAGTGTCGTCCACGTAGCAGGCCCAGAACTTCGGAAAGGCCACCTGAAGACCAGCTGTTCGAGCCTCTGCAAAACAGCTTCAGGAATAAGGCCAGACAGAGGCGAGCCCGTCGGTGTCCCCTTATTTTGTTCGTAGACTTGGCCATTGAACGTGATGAATGTTTTTAGACACAGTTTTTAAGAGCTCGATGATATCCACAGTTTATCGTAAGGCAATCAACACTAGACGCATCATCCATTTCGGAAGCAACCACCCTGCTGGGCAGAAACGCAGTGCCCGACGGGTTCAGACACACTGCAGCGACGACAATGGGAAGAAGGAGCCTGAAAGTAATAAACTATGGTGAAAATTGATCCAGTGTAAAGAGGAAGATGAGTTCTTTCATTTCCAGCCATATTGTACTATTTATCCTCAGGTAAATTTAAAAAACTTGTCAAAATTCTCAATTTTCATTTTGTCCTGGAAAAGGTTAACCGGCACAGCTATCTGTCAGCTAGATATTCAATTAAAGTTGTTTTTAAAGGCGCAACCTATTTTAGAAAGCTTTTTGTTAATCTTAGGGAGAACAATATTAAACTTCTGTTGCGGATGTCTTTTGCTTCTCAATGTGTTTTTCTGGTTGGAGGAATTTCTAATTATGGTTCACATGGCCATCTTCATAAGACCGAATATTCAAATCTCGTTTTTTGGCAAATGCTGTTAATAGATACAGTACGGCCTAGAATTCGTGTTACATGCCGACATATGCGAAAGATTGATACACTTTCGCTAATCGGCATTGCGCAAGGTTGTAATACTGATTATCATGTAGTCTATTCTGATGTCAATTCAGCCCTACTAGGATGCCGGCAATTAACGGGCTTCTTTCTGACTGCTAGCAAAAGGTATGTACTGTAAAATGTGACAACTTTAGTAGTATGATTTTTAATCAATGATTTTTACTGCCTTTATGAATTCAGATTTATTATATGGAAAACAGAAAGAAGAAGTTGTTTTTGTACACATTTGATAGCAAATTACGCCTTCTTTCAATTTTAAACATAGAGAAAAGGTGTCTTTGGGGTTTGAAAAACTGTCTAATTATGGGCTTTTTTACGATTGTGAGGTGTTTGTTCATTTTACATCACATCCGTCAATTGATTAATGCTGCCGATAATGTTTACAGCTTGTACCACATCTGTTGCAATATTTGATGAGAACTATACGACTTCTTCCTTAAACCGTAGGCGAAAACGTAGTTTTCCTTAAACAGGATGTACAGAGCGCACAGCTTGTAAACCTTAAATTCAAGTGTAACAGTCAGTAGGTTTAAAAATTATTCGGCAATTAGGGAACTTTTTTAAAACCGAAGGATACCCTTTCTTTAAGTATAAAATTAATCACAGCCGTAAGTTGCTATCAACTGAGTACAAAATAATAACTTCTTCGTTTGTGTTTTCAATAAAATATATTTGAATTTATAAAGGCAGTCGAAATCAATGTTAAAAATGCATACTACTAAAGTAGCCACTTTTTATAGTACATTAGCGGTCAGAAAGAAGTTCGGTAAAAGCCGGCATCCTATCATGACTGAAATCACTCCAGAATGGACTACACGATAATCAGTATTACAGCCTTGCTCAATGGCGATTAGCGAAAGTGTACCAATCGTTCGCATATCTCAGCATGTTACACGAATTGTAGGCTCTATTGTATCTCATTATAAAGGTTTTGATATGAACTTCGAACATAATGTGTATTTATGAACGAAAGCTTGATAGCACTGAAAAGGCTCGAAAATTAGTCGGAAGTTAAAGGCCAAGCTGTCAGTAATTGTAATTAGATAACGGCAATATGTTTAACGTATGTTGACTAAGGAAAAGTTCTTTTTATATAAAGGAAGTGATAAAATTATCCGTTCAACTTAAGAAAGGATTGTAATGTATTATTCTAATTTATAGCTGTTTTTACGTCTCCGGAGCTTGGGGATTATTAGAAAAATGCCATTTTGCTTAACAAACAATTAGTATTTTTGAAATGGCGTTTGTGACAAATTTTCCTTAGGTTTTTCATCATTATTTCAACGTTTTCGTACATATATTGATGCCGGTACACGAGAACTGAAAAATATTTTAAAAACTTAGTCATTTTGCATGCAGCATTCGCCGCTCCTCTGTATAACGGTTGTAATTGGAAGCAATCATTGGAAACTAGTTCTTAGTGCTGCGCAAGAGCAAGGTAGAATTTCGTCGGCAGACTCTCCAATTCACGTTGTTTGCAAAATAACGCGGAGGCACCGGAACACGTGCTGAAGTTAAAGTGAGCTTGGTCGGCTCTGCACTGTCAAAGCGTTAACTGCAGTTAACTGAAGAGAACCGGAAGTGGAGTACCATGACTTAGTTGTTTGCCTGACATTGATTGATTTCTGTGTTCGCTGTCTCGGTCATTTGCAGGAGTTTTGATGGACTGTCCAGCTGCATGCCTTGTAAGTCACTCCCTCCATCAAGGGAAAGAGAAAAAGAGAGAGAGATTGCGCCTCTGCCGATATTGCTTGGTCTGTTGCGTAAGTTGGTTCACGCGTTGTTTGCGTGGCTTTCTTGAGTACTGCGTAGCCGTCTTGTCCTGAGATTTGTGTACTTGATGATGTAAGACTTTACAAGCTTTAGGAAGGTCAATATGCCCTTTCCTTAATACCACGTCTCAAGCTTTAGTCATCTTATGTTTGATTTTCCCTGACTAATGTGGTAACTTCCAGAAGATTGAACGTGTGGCCAGTTTCTTCAATATGCATACAAGCCTGCAAGCAGAGAGTTTGGGTCCAGCCTGACTTGTCTTTATGTTCTTTTGTTTTCCCCAACTTAATTTCCGCCCCCCCCCGTGTTACAACTTATTCGGTAGACGATTGCTGAGATTTCAGTGAGTGGAAGCGTGGCCTTGGGCTGCCTCAAACCGCGGCGAACTGATGCTTTAGGTCGGCGGACTACGCCTACTGTGGTGAGTTGTAACAGTCGAGAAACCGACTCAAAGGCATACTTTAATGCACGAACTCGCCCTTTCAGGCTTCTAATTGTTGTTCCCTTGGCCGTTGTCTGTTCATCGCCTCTTTTCCTCCACAAAATGGTTAGGGTATCCACTAACTCTGAGGAGGTTCTGGAGGGAAAGCCATTCAGTTATTTTGGCTGCTAGCGTGCTGAAATGTAAGTCGACTCTCTTGAATAAAGAGCAGACAAGTCATAGTGGTTGAAAAATGCACCGAATGTAGTACAGAAACTAAATTTCGTTTAACTTTTTTCAAGATCTGCACTTCCACAGCCTTTAAGAGGTCTGTGGTGGGATTGAGTTACTGATCTGACATATGTATTCCGTTTGCGAGTGACAAGAAATTGTGCAGAAGATCGACACTATATGTGTTCTCAGACACATCTAAATCCAGTTCATATATATGTCGAATGGAATTCACGTGGATTTTGTGGAAGCGTGTCACATGCATAATGATTCCTTGTCAATATGAGGGCCAGAATTTATACAGCGCCCTAACTACGTAGGTAAATCCACCAGCTAATTCCATTGCGTTTGTTACTTCGGCCGACATGGTTGCCATGACCTTACACCTGCATGCAGCTCAGTCTCGTTGGAGCACAAGTAATAACTATGTGTCGATTCACGGTTTGCCGAATTTTATCGTAATGGACGAACTCATCGGATTGTACACAACTATTAATCAGTGGAGCGTACGTTGCAAATTCGCCAACCATAACTGTTCAAGTGGCTCTTGAATAATCATCCATTAAAGGTCCAAACAGAACTTCATAAAAGCCAGGGAGAGTGTTTGTACGATAATAAAAGTGAGAATATAGTGTACAACAGTGTAAGCAACCAAGCAGCAGTAAGTAAGGGAGAGAAGTTTTCAAGGATCAATTGGTCGGAGCTTAGTCATAACAAGGGATCAGAGGGGGAGAGATTTGGAAAGAGTCCGATGATTATTTCATATCACCCCGTCGTCACTGTCTTGCGACCGGGTAGACGGTATGAGGATGCATGCTGTCGCTGTTTCGCAGCGTGAGGACGCCCGTCATCACTGCCCCACCATTGTCTCGTGGCGTGGTAGGAAGCGTGCGAACGCATGTTGAGTTGGTCTTCGACCAAGAGAGCTTTAGTGCCCCTAAAAATGCCTTCTACACGCATAATTTCGGATTATTTAATCGTATGGCGACTACCTCTGCCTTCTTAAGTATTCGCTGGCGCAGGAACTTGGAGTGCTTCGTCGGCACTTAATAAATGACTCTAAACGCTTGGTTAACGTCTACTCGGTGACGCTGTCCATCAAGTGAACCAAAGTTGCGCTAGATATGGTTTAGCCTCGGTTTAGCCAGACAGGATGGTGTTCTCGCATGCGCTAGGAAAGCCGACTAGATGGTTGGCCAGTATAGTCTGCCGCACAGGAGTAAGTCAAGGCGTAGACGCACATTGAAGAGGTCTGAAACGAGATTCTATCCTTGCCTTCAAGGCGAAAAAGTGGAGTGCTTGAAATTACTAATTTTATCTTAGCTGGTGGATACATGCAGCAGTTGTAGCGTTCAAACAAAGGTGTAGAAGCTCGCTTGGTGGATCCCCTCGAAAAGACGATGTGAAAAATAAGGCTTTCTTCGCGGCCCTCGGGAGCTTCCTCCATAATTTTTTGAAGGAACTTCTGGGAAAAACCGTTCTCTTGTTATTAAAAACACTTTGCGACATGAACTTATTGTCGGACTCTTTCCAAATCTCTCCATCTATGATTCCTTGTTATGACTAGGATCTGACCAACTGATCCTTGAACACTTCTCTCCCTTACTTATTGCTGCTTGGTTGCTTAAACTGCTGTTCACTCTAACCTTCTTTATATTATTTTATTTGCCTGAATGATATAGAGTCGAAAACTATCTTTCGCCTATCTTTATCCCATGCAAACGTATAGGGATGGAAGCAGATATGTGTGTCGCATGCTCTTGTAGTCAAAGAGACAAAGGCACGATCACTGGGCAGCACTTGCATTAGCCTAAGCTTTCGGCTTCGTCAGGAGGCCATCTTTAGAGAAAATGAAAGAACAGAAAGTGTTGGCATGTTTTTTAGTCCACCTACTGGGAACGGGTGGTGCGTGAGGGGCTAGCATTCGTAATCGGTTGAGTTCACGCTCACATTTTCTCCCGTATCGTCTCGATGTGCGGCCTTAGCACCGTGGCGTGCATCCTTGACGTGACAGTGCGCGTGTCTGGACACGAAATGGGCCATGCTTCTTGATCGCGCATGGCG